TGATCAAAAATGACAGCTTCCTGTAGACGGTCCAATAGATCCATAATTTTACCACAACCATTTTCGCTTCCATCACCTGTTATCATCCGCTTCAGAAATTAATCAATTTTGTATTTTGGTCCATGAGATTTTTTTGCGTTAACTCTTTACCGCTCTACCCTTTTTATTCAAAGTATATTTAAGTGGGTCCAAGCTGTTTTTTGTGCAATTTATAACACCGTCGCACTGAGCGATTTCCATTGTTTTATCAATATTTTCGAAAATTGGCCTTCAAGAGCGTGTTACAGCTTTGATGTCAATATTACCGAAATGGAATTTCAAACCAAAGGCGCGTGGTTAGATTTAAGCTCTTATTGAAGAAAACATGTCCTTAAACGCGTGCCCAACAATATTGGGTCAAGTTATCACAAAACTATCTAATTTTTTTTTTTTTTTGGTACAACATCTTGTGTTTATAATACCAGTGAGTTTAATCAGACAGCACGACATGAGATACACATTACTATAGGTCTAGCTAATTCAAAAAAAAAAAATGTGTTTTATTTACTAGCCTCTATATTTGGGGGTTACATACAGTTAGAATTTCCAAAAAATTTTCTTTTTTATGTTATTTTCTTAATGTACATATATTTAGGAATACACACAGAAAATTTCATATCGTTCCGGTGAATATTTTCGAAGTCAGAGTGCTTGGAAGTGCATTCCAAACTTTAAACGCGTTTATCTCAAAATGGTGTTTTAAGGACGGTGACCAGTATTATTTGAACACGGCTAAGCCGATTAATCTGAAATCTTAGCATGTGCTTCTTAAATATATTGTTTAGTAATCAATCGAATAATTATCAGTGATAAATATTTCTTTATAAACAATTTAAAGCAGAAATTTGGGTCAAAAATCATTTTATTTTAGAAATTGTCATTTGTAAAAAAAAAATATTTTGCTTATTCCTTCGACTAATTACGAGATTCAACATTATTTTAACGAAATCTGTTTGGTTTTTAAATTTCAAAGGATCCGATTTAGAAATATAGTGATCACCGCAAAAAGTCKTTTTTGGGAGGAGATCCTGAAGATCAGCTGCAGTTGCTTTCCAAATAAATAACTAAAACTAAGTCTTTAAATACAGTTAAAAGATACCATAATATTTGTCCAAGTTTTCGAATCACTAAATTTAAAAGTTTTCTCAAAAAATACTGGAGATTTTTTTTGGCTTTCTAACTTTATATAACCCCTTAAAAATGTCAAAATTTACGATAAAGTTGTGAGTTCCCAGATTGCAACACTAGGTTTGCCAAATAACGAAATATAAAGCGCTTTATATTTGCTTTTATCATGACTGTGCGTAAAAATAATACAATACTTATATTCTTTTCTTTAAACTTAACTGTTTTTTTTAACTTCAAAGAAAAAAATTTAAGCTTAAAATAAAATATTACATTTCTTTCTAATATTCATCAACAAGCCAAACTAATCCTCTTGCATTAACGCCATCAGCATTCCAACTAATACAAAAATGCACTTCAACTACCGTTATGTAATGCATTTGCATATGTATGTTATGAACTTTGGTGTTTTGAATAATTCGATTTCCTCACCCTTATGTTATGTCACAGTCAAATGTTGTGTATGCAGATGCCTCAATCAACAAATCTTTCTTTCCATTTCTCATATGCATTCGAWTTTTTTTGAATAAATTCAACGGTATGTAAATATTTATGCTTAAAGGCACTGCATTCCAGCTWTGGTGTGTTAAAAAGGAAATTAATTACAATTAAACCTAAGCGACGATAAATATTCAAATGAACGGGAGAGTATAAGAAAGGTCGGTTATATAATGAGCAGAAGAAAAGAAACTCGTCAATGGTGGAACATAAATTATCAATATATGAATTTTAAACAAAAGGCGCCGGTAGTTGGTTGAAATATTTGAGAAGAGTTTAAAAAGTTTAATGTAGCTATAGATGGGAATATGAATACGATTTTTGATGTTTTGAACCAAGGCCTAAATAGAAGTGAAATTGTCCGCATAGACTCATGGAAAACGTCTAACAGTGTGACATTAAGCGATCTTGGTGGCCAATCAATGACAGTTCTTGAATCTCTTCAGGTTTTTCGTCATCTCAAATTCGGCAATTTTGCTTGTTTACATAACCATTGAGCCAAAAAGAAGCCTCGCTCAAAAAAAGCAATTGAAAAAGTACTTCTAAGACGATCACCCATTATAATAAGATTCACAAATACAAAAAATCGCTTGCAAGAACTTTGATCGGTCAGCGGTCAGTTTGTACGGCAGTTATATGCTCTCGTGGTCCGATATCGGTCGGTCCGAAAAATGTGAAGCTACTTGAGCGAAATGAGGACGAATGCAAAATTTTAGGTCGATTTTTCAAAAACATAGTCCTCAGTTCGCATTTATACAAATAAATGGATGGACTAACGGACATGGCTAAATCGGCTCAGCTCATCACACTGATCATTTATACCTTTCACGGTCTCTGACGTTTCTGCTAGGGACGCTTGTTCGATATGACGCTCAGAACTCCTAACTACTCCACTTTAGCCAATTCGACGATTTTGTGGATAGTATGGCAGCCAAGATACCTCAACCTTCGTCTGACGAAAACTTAACAGTGAAGTAGAAAGTATCTATATGTCTATACCACATCTGCATTCTTGCAACATTGGCGGGGTTTGCGTCCTTCAAAACCCGTAGCTTCATCGTGTGTGTCCCAATAGGACAATGTCCAGTTAGAACGTATCCCTCAGAGGTATCTGCGCGGAGAAAATAATGCACCAAAAAGATAATTTTTAATTCATAAACCCAGAAAACATAATATAAAATAGTTTTTAAATTTCGAATACCGAATTCCGGGTTAGGTTAGGTTAGATTAGATGGCTTATCATTGATCGCACGTAGAATGGTATATATAGTCCTTTATAAAGCCGTAGAAAATAAGAACTCCCATGTTTGGACTTAGAGATTGGCAAAACTCTTATTAGCCAATACAAATTTGGAAGGGCTCCGAAGTGTCTAAGCCTTGGCCTTCCAAACGCGGGGTAGTCAAGAATAAAGTGCTGAGTTGTTTCTACGTCATCTTCTTCAAACAACTTCTGCACGGCGTCGGTAAGATTTCCGGCCTTACTACGTGGACTGGCGTGGATGCCAATAGGGCAAAGGCCTGTTAAAAGCCTCACAACTTGGGGAGAGGTTATCCTTACTGAGGGCAAAGAGATCGCTAGATCTGCTACGATCAATCTTGAGCCAAAAGGCTTTTGCGAATCTGCAAGTACCGATGGTGGCTGCTGCAAAGCCCAGTTATCTAGTAGTAGCACTCAAGAGGATGCGGGAGCGGGGATATAAAAATAAAAAAAGAAAATGAATCATACAAATTTAATTGAAAATTAAGACAGAAAAATTTAGTAATTTTCCTAAATATTTAATAAACAATAACAAAAAAATTTTTAGTCCTCTTAATTAAAAAACAGAATTATTTTATTATTTGTAACATTTTATATTAAAACTATTTTATTAAAATTAAATTCCGATTTTCGGATCAAAATTTTAAAATTTAATTTTTCATTTTCTTTTATATTATTTTTTACTGAAAAAATTCTTTTACAAATAAATTTTTTAAAAATTAAATTTTAACCGAAAACTGCATAATTCATGCTCCAAATAATTTGTTTTTTTTTTTAATGCGCAAGCCTCACTTGACTTAATGCAGCCTCCAATGCACCGTTGTGAGGCCACTTTCTTCACTTTGTGTTGTTATTATTGCTCTCTGTTCATTTACTGCTGCTCCAGGCGCCGTTACTCCAACAGCGCCAATGTCACGCCGGCATGCTGATTAATTTATTGTCGCTGTTAATCCGCGATATTATGAAATTGTTTATATTTTTATTGTTATTGCGTATTTTTTGCTATTTGCATATGCTGCTCACCCATTTTATCCCTTAACTGTCAGTAATATCTAATTTATTTTTGATCTTTTTTCAGTGCGGAGGAAATCGAGAGAATGCCAAAGAAATGTGCAAATTAATGTATTTATGTTAACATTTCGCTTTTTTCTCGCGGATTTCGGCAAAAACGCACCTTTTGCTGGTGGTGGTGGTGGTGGTAATACCGGTGTCGCTGGCTCAGTTGGTTAGTGTCAGCTGGATTATGTAACCTATCATATACATACATATGCAATGTTGAACCCATCCGATTGTGACCGGGATCTCGTTTTGTATGTAAATCGTTGGAAAAAAAGTCRTGTGATTTGAAACTTGTGAAATTATAACTTTTGATTACTTTCAGTGGAGGAAACAATTGTGTGTGAAGAATAGTGGTGTAACGGTAATCCGCTATTGATTAACAATGAAAGCAATAATGAAACTATGAATGGGTGGGTATGTGAATCAATCAAATTTTCGTTGGCAAATGATGAATTGGCTTTAGTTGAACATTGCGATTTGATTACACACATACATATACATATGCGTGTGTATTGGTGGGTATATGAATGAAGGTTTGTTGWGTCTTCGTTTGTAAAGGAGGAGGAGATGTCAAATGTGGTTTCAAGCAAAAAAAAAAATTAAAATTATTTATCGTCTAAATGGAGAGTAATGGACCGACCTTTTTATATATAACACATACAAGCGTTGCAAAAACAAAACTTATAGTTTTAAACATCCATCAATAATATATATACATCTATTATCTTTATACTACTGTTATGTACTTTTATCCAAACTAACAAATAAACATACCATACACGCATACATATGTATGTACATATATGTATAATAATAAATAAGAATTTTGCCAATTTCTGTATGTTTTCGACCAATCCGAAATAACTAGCAGCGCCATCTGATGTAGCAATTGTCATTTTGCGCCCTCTGTCCACGCAAATTCAAATAACTGAAAACCACGCAAATTAAAATCAGCGAATGCAACCATGTTCTCTGCTCTTCTTGTTCTTGTTTTCTGCATTCTGCATTTATTATTCTTCGAGTTCCATCGCAGCCGCACAAAATATGGCCGCACGTTAATTACAATTTAAGTAAATTGCGATAATATAAGCAAATCAATAAAATTACTAATACGAAACAGCTTAGTGAAAGTTGTGTGTACAAAATAATAATAGAGTTCAACAATTAAATTTAAGTATAATTAGTTCATAATTGAAAAACGGTAAAGTGAAAAGTCTGGTCGGCACAGCAAAGAGAATTGTGAAAAGTTCATCATAGAAACAAAAAAACAAGAACTGAAAATCCAAGGTAAAAGAAGGGCGAAATTCAGTTCACATATAAAGAAAGTGCAAATTCGTGATCAATAAAAGAGCAAAATCAATTTGAAAATATGCAGTGAAGTAGATGAGGTGCAAATTTGTAAAACAAAACGTATCGAAAATAAAAAAGAACGAGAGAATAATCATTTTGCTGCTTTTTCCATACAACGTCACCGAAAAGCTAGCAAAGGAAAAAAGTGCCGTCCGACTGCAGAAGCAACAACTATCTTGGCGGGCTACGATTAAAAGCGGCAAAAGGATTGCGAAAGGCCGACGTCTTCTCTGCTGAATAAACAACACTGCAACGACGAAAACAATTTTCCCTGTCATAGCGTGCCAGCAGTACCAGCTGGTAAGTTGTGTTTGCATACCTACGTTCGTCTATGATACCTATTTGATTATACGCTTCCCAGCTTAAATTGGCTGCTTCACGTTATGGTATAGTGTATGACTTTAGAAACGATGACGCAGGCAAAGTAGTCAGCTGTCCTCTTGTCTTGATGCTTATAGAGCTAGGCAAAGAAATTGAGAATGGGTTAGGAATATGATAAATAACTGTAATTTAGCTTTGAAATGTAATAAAAATAAAATTTAGTTCTTCTATACTATACAATTTTCTTTATTATTTAGTATTCYTTAAAAATACTTGTGAGATTGCAACCTTTATTAGGGATTTGTTTTACAAATTTATATTTAGCCTACGGCGGTAGTTCGATTAATTAATATTTAATAGTAATATGTGCATTCCTACCCCCAATTTCTATTTAGGTTAGCTAATTTATTAAATAAATCAAAAAAATTTTAACACCCTGTCGTAGCAACATTTTATGTCACAATAAACGGGTTTACAACCGTTACTATTGTTTTTCAATATCAAGAGACTWCTTCTATTTGGACTTCTTCTGCCATACCACTAAAATCTTCAAGTTATAGATTTGTGTTATGTATCAAATGATGTCTTCAGACTCTCTTGTCGGACTCTTGATCATGTTCCGTTTTTTGGAGACAATCGCAACAAATGGTAGTTTGTAAACTGCATCTAATTTWCGTAAATTTGACGTCCAAGTTTAGGTTTGCTTTTGTCTTGCCGAACAGGCTATATCAAGTTTAAAATGTAGTGTTAACACCTGCAYGAAAACATCGGAAAATAACGGATTATTTAAAAATTTTATAAATAACTGATCATAGTGAAGAGCTGAGTGGATTTAGCTATTTTTGTCTGTCTGTATATCCGCAAACTAGTTGATTGATCAACATAAAATAATTGTATGGAACATTTTTTTTTTTTTGACAAGATTTGAAGATATTTTTCAGATCAGACCACTGCCATATAAGTAACCAAAGATCCCTTTTATTCTATAAGAAATGACAGCGTGAAGGGTGTAATAGCTTCGCCGTAACCGCTGCTAACRTTTTAAAGCGAGTAATTTGCCTTAAATATTTCTTATAAATATTTAAGTATACATAAATAACTAGATCTAAGTTTAATGACCTTTTCGCACTCATCGTCAGGTGTATTACATTTGGGTTAAATATTATATTTCTAATATTTTAAATGTTTGTATACTTTAGTGATTATTTTCATAAAATTCACGCAAAGCATTAACAACAAAACCTTTCCAGATGACTTAATGCTCACAATTGTCAAATTATATTCCTTTATACTGCATTTGTTGTTTGCTTACTGCAGTCAGTCCTTCGGCACGTACTCGTTAACCCGTTGGAATGCATGAAGACCGGTGTTGATGAAAAGTGAAACTGCAGCTGCAACTTTATCCAATTATAAATCTTACAAGTAGAAGAATAAACACCAAGAAATAAGAAGTGCATCTTTATTTAATGTTTCACATATTCGCAGGATAAAATGCAGTTGTATTTTCTCTTTGGGGTAGTTTTCGCATTTGTTTGTTCTTATTGCCTTACTCTCTAAAAGCTGCAGGATAGGAGCGCCTAACAGTTTGCTTTRGGTAACTTTGTAGAGGTGATATGACAAAAACAATAAACACAAGTTGAATACAACATATCGGCACAACAACAAACATTTTGCATAACAATTTTGAAACAATGTATGTGTTGAAAGCTGACATTGCCCATTAACAATGAGCAATTTTGCAATTTTTGCATACAACCGCTCCGCTACCCTAAGTACAAATGCAAATAGATTGCACATATAAGAATGAATATAATTTTATAAATATGAATGCACAGGCTTGCATATGGTAAATTTTTATACCCTGAACAGGCTATGAAGGGTGTAGAAGGAAACGTTGGATACCCTATAAAATAAAGTATATGTATATAAATAATCAGCATAATTAATGAGCGGAGCCAATTTAGCGATGYCTGTCTGTCTGTATATACGCGAACTAATCTCTCAGYTTATGAGATACCGGTATACATTTTTGGATAAGCTGCTAATTTGACCAACCGCCAATATCGAACAAATATACATAATATATATGTGACCTACAAACTGTACGATCAAAATTTTGTCCTGGTATGGAAATTTTTTACGAGATATTTCCACGAAATGTGGCATGCATTATTGTCCAAGGCATCGATACAATCTCCGAAGAAATTGTTCTTAWATTATGGCAGTCCAGCCATAGCATATAGCCGCCATATAAATTTAACAAACAAAATCAAGTTATGATATGGACTCTTTTGTATTTGTCCAGGGTATTATAGCTTCTGTTCAACTGAAGTTTACGTGTTTTCTTGTTTTCATAATTAAGTTTTCTTAACTTAAATTGCTGTGCTATTTATTTACCTCTTTAAATTGCAATCCTAATTTCTTTCTCCAATTTTCAGTTAGTCATTAACTTAGGAGGTATACGAATATAAAGAGTTATTTGACGCAGTTGYACATATCTCTAAATCAGCAACATGCAGCATCATGCACATGTGGCACGTGCAGCACCTCCCCACTTGCGTGCCCACCATATGGCTGTGCCACCGCCGCATACCCAATCACAGACACATATACCGCAAATGAATTTGGCACATGTGCCACCGCCGCCACCACCCGGACAACAACAACAGCAACAGCAGACGAGTCAGCAAAAGCAGTCACAACATCTTAGTAATGGCCCTACAACGGCTGGTGCTGCTGYAGTGATCTCAGGCTCGTCCATCGCCGTGGCGTCACATGTGCGCGATCATCATACAGCACGGTAAGCCACAACTTGGAGTTGATTAATATTATTTTCAAWTAAATTATTTCGGCGTATTATTTCTAACGGTGCCTTTTATGTAAATATCTTCAAATGTCAGCTGAAAGTGTATGCACGCATTGCTTGGGATGATTCCTTTGCAGTTTTTTCTATTTTCTCAACTCATAAATTATAATTTCTACTTTTTTCTTATCCTTTGATGTCTTATGCTGTTTTTTTACTGTCGTTCTATGCAACTAAGTGTAGTCACCTTTTCACGTGTATGAGTGTGTGTGTGTGTGTGCACGTCGATGTCTATGTGGCTACCTTGTCATATGATGGGTTGGCAAGTCTGCTTAGCTGCTTTGATTCGCAGCATGACTTCCGTTCAGGCGTAACGAGTTCTCTTGCTCTTCTACCCTGTCTCCTGGAAGTGTGCTTATACATATGTATATGCATACATATATTGTATGTGTATTTATGCGTATAACTTCCATATGTCTGTCACTTACCGTACCATTACCATTTTCCCACTTCACGTTGAAGTAGTGGTGGCATTTGCAGTTAGTTGTTAGTACTTCGAAACAACAACAACACTTACCATTGTCACAGCTAATATTTCTCTTGCGCCTATGTTCTTTCCTGTTTTGCCATYTAAGAATTGCGCCTGAAACACACATGTATACAAACGGACAAACATACTTACATTCATTTAATTTTTCACCGCCTTTGAAGACATTTATTTCGTGCCACTGTTCGATTAAAAAAATAGAAAAAAAGTTCGTCATTGTTTCGCTTGAGAGTAACGTGTGAAAATTAAATTTTTTTCATGATTATTCTGCATAAATTATATACATATTTACACCTAGACGGAACTAAACTTGGTACTGATACAACGACTCAATAGTTGTTGAAGCATACAAGTTTGCCAATAAAGTAATTATAGGTTATTTATTTTAGCGCTTAATTATGCGTTATACGATCATTTATCGTATTAAGCTTGCCAAGGAAGCGTTACATACACTWTAAAATGCATTCATATATAACTGTTAAAAGTGAAGAGCTAAGTCGATTTAGTCACATCCGTCTGTTTGTCCGTTTTTTTGTTGGTATATACGGGAACTAGGTTTTGAGATATCGATCCTTGCACTTTTTTTCTCCAAGAGGTTGCTTATTTAGCGGAAGCACCAATTTCGTATCACTATAGCATATAGCTGTCATATAAACTGACCGATCAACATTAWGTTATTGTCTGGAAAACTAGCCTTATTTGTCAAGATATCTTCATTCATTGGTACGGATTATTATCCAAGAAAACGATGCAATTTCCGAAGAAATTACTCATATCGGATCACTATATATCTACATATATAGATGCCATTTAAACTAACAAAWATCAAGATAAATTTCTAAGTATACATATATGAAAGTGATAAATCCAGAAGTCTCGWAATAAAATTCGTGATTTTTCTTTCAGTCACATCTATAATTATCGGAATTCATGTTTAAAGAGACTCTTTGGACTGTAAAATTTGTGAACAATGCACAAATGCAATTAGAAATGAAGAACAGTAACGAAAAAGGGATTATAAAATTTAGGCTCGTCCTCACACTCACTTAGCGCACTCACTTAGCGCACTCACTTTTGAACACTAATTGAATTTGTCACATTTGAAAGTATTTATGCCGCAGCGTCAATGACGTTGACAATGCCACTCCGCCAGTGCCGCTGCTGATGTTGATGATAATGACGAGTATGAAACGCAACGCATTGCTGATTATGGTGATGGCATTGACCTATTTAAAGCACTGCAGCCAAACCGTAATTGCCAAATTCACCCAAAACAAAGCTATAAAAGAAGTGCGAATGAAAAAAATTGCAAACCCCCGAAAAAAAGTATGATCTTCAGGAGGAGGGGATAGCGGATATGGCGATTGAAGTGGTAGAGTGGTGACCACGGCTAACAATCGAAACAAAACGCCCGTTGTCAGTATTTGCGCGAATTAGAAAATGTGCCTGCTTTTGTTGCATGCAACAACAGTGACAGCAATAAAGCAGCAGCAGCGTCAAGGAGTGCCAACAGCCCTGTCTTATGTGCAGAACAAGAGTTTACTGGCTGTTATTATACCTTTTTTATACCCTGAACAAAGWGTATTAAATATTAAGTGATGAGTGTGACGAGCTGAGTTTGTCGGTCTGTATAAATRGGAACTAGTCTCTCAGTTTTTGAGATATCGATTTGAAATATTGCTCACGTCCTCTTCTGTTCGAGGAGCTGCTTATTTGTTGTAACCGACGATATCCGACCGCTATAGCATCCAGTTGTCATTCTAACTGAACCATCAGTTTCAAGTTTTATATGGAAAACTTTTTTATTTGGTAATTTATCCTGAAGGAATTCGGCATGAATTACTGCCCAAAGCAGCGGTACAATCTGCGAACTAATTGTTCTGATTGGACAAACTGAGTGTTTAAAATTCAACATTTTCACTTGTGAACGGTATAATAGCTTCGGTGCAGCTGAAGTTAACGTTTCTTCAATTTTTTTTTTTGTGGGTTTTGCTGGTATTGTCGCTTGCTTTGCTTCATTGCTTCAGCATATTTATATGTGAGCTACTCAATGCCACTTCAGGCATTATTCATTAGCATAACCATCCATCTCAAATCCGTCCTAAGCTGATATGAAAAGTTTCGAAATAAATCGATAARGTTGAAATTTATTTATTTGAGCTGCGCCAAAAATCAAGCATAAGTTGCCGCTCGCCACTTTATTGCTTTGCATTGTCCGTCCGCAATAAAAGCAACCAAACCTGAGTCAATACTATTGCAGTATTCGAATCAAAGTGTACTTGTGCTTTTATACTTATGTGTTTTGTGTTTGATGACGTTCGCCTTTGTTGTTTGTCACAATCCTTTTCGTGCTCTTTGCCATACCTAACACACACACGTATACAAACCAGAATGTCTTGACAATGAAAGGATACTGTATTTGAAAAAAGTATGAACTACCTTAACGAGCGTATAAAAAATGTGAAAACAACAAYGAGCATTGCAACGTCCGTCTGCCGTCRGTGACAACAATGGGAGGGGTCAATTTTTTACCTTTATTCGTTGCCATTCGCTTACGTGGGTCTATTTGCACAAATATTTCCGTGAGCTTGCTATTGCTCTGAGTTATTTTCTTCTCATTTATTCACTGTGGCCGCGCATGCACTGTCGGCGAGCCGATAGCCAACAGTTGAGATCATTTGCCCGGCACAGCAAAACGCATGGTGCAGCCTATATTATTTTGCTTACGGTATTATTTTCAGTATATCTTGAAGTCACGTTTGCTGCTTTACGATTCTAGTGTATTTCGCAATTTTTCTGACACTTTTGCCAATGTGCATTGTTTAGTTGTCAAATTTTTATTATTTCGCCAAGATTGTTTTGCGGTTTGTCAAATGTGAAATATGAAGTATTCATATTTTGAATGCACTGGTTTGTGCCTTCTTTTTTAATATTTATTAAGAAAAGTGTGTAGTTTTTGTAATATGTGTGTTTTATAGCAAAAATAGTTAAAAAGTGAGGAAGAGAAGCATTCTGGTAGMTGGTGACATCAGTTTGTATGCGGAAATTGTTATGATTTCTTACTTTCGAGTATTCCAGAGTTGAACAAAGATCTTCAGTGCGTTTTGTTTAATTTTCTTCAAGTTTAAGTTTGTTAAGGTACATAATTGGAAAAAAGTTAATTTTAATTGAACAATGACTGCTACAAAGAGTATTTGTTGAAAATTTTTTAAATAAGTCGTGTAAACCTAACAATAAAAAAAAACACTCGTCTATTTCTAGTTTGAATCAGCAACCATTGCAACAACAACCACATCAGCATCCCTCATCTATGCACACCAGCACACAGCTGCAAAAGCTGCGACAACAACATCAGCATATAAACAACAATAATAATAATAATAGTACAAACAAAAACAACTATCATCATCATCAAGCGCAGCAGCAATACAACAACAGCACCAGCAATACACACGGCAATGTGCTGCCGGTACAAGCAGCAACACAACAACAACAACCRAAGCAAAGCTCACAGGTGTCACATCATACGTCGCGGCATCACCAGCAGCCGCAACAGCATCAGCTGCATCATCAACAACAACCACAACAACAAGTAACGCAACAGCTGCAACATAAGCATATAGTGGCTCCAATGCCACCACAGCAGTCGCACGGCCACGTAAAGAACCAACAGTCGTTGCAACAAATACAACCACAACAACAACAAGCGGTGCCAACCACAACAAATCTGGTTATTGCAAAGAATGTCATCAATACGCATGTGCCACCACCGTCGCTGCCACAGACACAACATCTGCAACAACCACCACCTACGTCTTTGAATTACTACAACAATAATGTGCATAAATCTAACTACAACAACAATAATAGCGTTGTGGCGGTCAGTGGTGGTGCCGCTAGCGGTATTAGCAGTGCCATGCCCCCAAAAACCATATTGCAGAATCCAAATCGCGTGCTAAAAGCGCGCTTGCATGCCAGCTCGACTACAAATAATATTGACGTGAGTACTGTGAGTCCGTCGGTGGGTGTAGATGAAACCAATAAAGCTGCTAAGAGCGTTGGCAACATTGTTAACAGCAGCGSCAACAAAGTTGTTAGCTCCACAGAGACACATTTAAGTGAGGTCGTTGCTAATAACATGACCACACCGACAGCCGAGAGCACTACGAGGCATGAGAGTTTACAAATCGTGCAAAGCTCTAACCAAGCAGAGGGTAAGTGGTATAATTTATTAGATATGTAATATAGATATTTATATGTATATAGTTTGGAGAAGCTTCATTTTCGATTTTTGGTTTGACAGCTGCYTCCATCGAGTCTAATAAGGAAAATATGACTAGTACAGCACAAAGCGCTAATTCCAGCATTGAAGTTAGCAGCAGCACGCTTAACAACAACAACATATTGTCCAATGAAGACAACACAGTGGCGAAAAATTCCAAAGAAAAGACACCGATGTGCTTGGTCAACGAATTGGCGCGTTACAATAAAGTAAATACATTTCCTTATTATTATTGTTGTTATTTTAACCCTGTGCATGCTCTAACTCATTCACAGATCACACATCAGTATCGTTTAACTAGCGAGAAGGGACCAGCGCATTGTAAGCGTTTCACGGTCACGCTGAAACTGGGTGAGGAGGAGTATTCAGCTGAGGGTTTCAAAATAAAGAAAGCTCAACACTTGGCAGCTGCTGAGGCTATCGAAAAGACTAAATACAAACATCCCGTGCCGAAAGTGATACGGCGCGGCGCGGATAGTGAGGGGAGTTCATCGCGTGCCAACATCACACCTACAGTGGAGTTGAATGCGCTCGCTATGAAATTGGGTCAACAGACCTACTATCTGCTGGATCCACGCCAAGTTGGACCGAACGATGGCATGGGACCACCACCAGATGCTATGATGGCACCGCGTTTCAATGTGCCGCCACCACCACATGCGTTGCCACCACACGCCATAGCCGGTGGTCATATGTTACCGCAGCACCCACCACCACATTTGCGTTTGATGGATCCGGCATATGTGCGTCGCAGCGGCCCGTATGCCGCACCGCCACCACAACCTCAGATGCACGGACTTCCTGCTGCCGGCACAGCTATGCGTCCACGTTATGGTGCACCAGCACAACGCACATACATGCCAAAATATAATCAACAACACCGTTACCCGCTAATGGCGCCACCACCTATGCCCGGTGGTCCACATAACGGTATGCTGCCACCGCCACCTTTGTCACACCCGCAGCACCCACACCATGGCGGCATGCCACATCGTTATGGCATGCCTGCTGCTTTGACCAAGGTGACACTAGTCGTGGGAAAGCAGAAATTTGTAGGGTTGGGTCGTACATTGCAGCAAGCCAAGCACGATGCCGCGGCGCGTGCTTTGCAAGTGCTCAAAGCGCAAGCCGCCACACAGCTCAATGAAGAGCTCAACAACAGTATGGAGGAGAGTGACAACAAATCACCGATCTCACTGGTTTATGAGATTGGCATACAACGCAGCCTAACGGTACACTTTAAGGTGTTGCGCGAGGAGGGTCCAGCGCACATGAAGAAATTCGTAACAGCTTGCGTAGTGGGCACCATAGTAACAGAAGGTGAGGGTAACGGCAAGAAGATATCAAAGAAACGCGCTGCGGAGAAGATGCTGGCGGAGCTAAGGAAACTACCACCATTAACGCCCACCAAGTCACCCATAAAGCGTATCAAAGTGAAAACGCCCAGCAAAGCAGCAGGCGGCGCGGACTCCATTTCGGGCGGTGGTGGCAAATCGGGTGGCAGCATGGGTGAGCGACGAAAACGTGGCAGTAGTTCGATCAAGGAGAAGAATGATGCTGATACCGAGACTGAGAACCCCATCACGCGGCTCATACAATTGCAGCAAAATCGCAAAGAAAAAGAGCCGATTTTCGAGTTGATAGCGAAGAACGGCAATGAGAACTCGCGTAGACGCGAATTCATTATCGAGGTGACGGCACACGGCATGGTAGCACGTGGCACCGGCAACAGCAAGAAGCTGGCCAAACGCAATGCAGCACAAAGTARGTTCCGATTAGTTACTTTGACTTAACAATATATAAACAATAATRTAAAATTACAGATCTGCTCTTGGCCATGGGCGAAAAAGACACCGCGGCTGCTGAACTGAAGTCAAACACGGAATCGGTAGTAACAACAAGCGTCCCGGCTAGTAACGAGCAAACCAATACAGTATTGCAGCCAAATGTAGAAGCAGCTGCAGCGCCAGCAATCACCGCAGCGCCAGCTGTTGCCGTTGAAGTGCACAATGATGTKCCACTTGTAACCACCACGGCTGGGCAAGTGCCAGGCATACTAATACTGCGTCACAACAAGAAACGTGAGTGAAAATAAATAGTTTATATGTTTATGTTTGTGAACTCATTGTGGAAGTAACCTTTTTGCAGATTCAACAAAGAAAAAAGAAAGCATGATTAGTACTACAACACGTCTACCGGTGGTTGAGGAAATAGAAAACAAGCAGGAGGAATCGGTAATCTCTACAACGCAAACGGCWCCTGCCGCGGTACAAAACAAAGCAAGCAGCACTGACAATCAGCCAMCTGCTGTTGCAAATGCTAAACCCATTGTTGAAGCTACCGCCACACCGACTGTGGCGGAATCGACAAATACCGCTAGCACTGTTGCGCCAACCAGCAGCAGCGCGTCGAAGCCGAAACCGACAGGTGTGCACACGAAAGATCAGTTGCTGTATCTGGCAAAATTGCTGGGTTTTGAGGTTAGTGATGCTTTTTATACTTTTTTGTTTCTAGTATTTCCTAATAAATATTTGTTTTCTCTTTTCTTCGTTAAATCCAAATCGTATAGGTGAACTTTTCCGATTTTCCCAAGGGAAATCACAGCGAATTCCTAACGATCGTAACGCTTTCTTCCAATCCACCGCAAATCTGTCACGGCATGGGCACTAGCGCTGAGGAATCTCAAAATGATGCGGCGAAAAATGCATTAAAACTACTTAGTAAATTAGGCTTGAATAATGCGGCRAATTGAACAAAAAAATTACAATACAAAAATTGTAATCTGGCAAAATATTATATTTTCTAAAGAAAATGAAATTCAAATTGTATTTGGCGCCACAAAATTTATAAAAAATATGGAATGTCGTTAAAAGGACAACAAACGTAAATATCAATATTATTTGAAACAAAAAAAAAAACAACAAGTATTGCATAATAAATTAGTTACAACAAAAACGTTTGTAATGTTACATGGAGTAACAAAGCATACTTTACAAAGTCATTATTTTAGAAAAAACTCAAAAGCTGAATAATATGTGCAACAAAAAAGTCTTAACAAATTATACAAACACAAAATATSAACAATGCTGCTACATATACATACATTTTTTCCTATTTTGTTAACATATACACACTTTCATTTATATTGGCATTGGCATTGAGCTGCATTTGTTTCATTTATTTACTTTATCATAATTTTTGTTAACTTTATGCTTAGTCAAATTTGTTAGATGCTTAGTAGGCGAACACATTGTGTTTTCTGATAAAAAAAAAAAAAAATTTCATATAAAATTATGAAAGTTCAAAATTATACAAAAGGCGGCTAAGTTATAGTTTGTTTCTATACTGTAAAGCCGTTCAACTGCTACAACGCACCTTCTGGCAAAGGTGTTCAGCTGCTTACCAATTTACTGTTACTATTTTTGCTTTAGATCCGCATGTTAAAGTGAAAATTATTAGAATTTGTTTATATTATAATATTTTGTAAAAGCTATGCTTATGCTTAGCTTATATTATTTGTGTTCAGTTAAAAAAAAATTGCAACAATATTTATTTATTAAGCTTTATATGAAAATTTTGTTGCCCTAAAGCATTGAATAAAAGCTAGCAAAAACACTTTTTGATTGTATATAAATTAAATTTTAAAATTTAAAGGCAAGTTAATGAAAAAATATAAACTTTTCGTAAATAACAAACGAGCCGCAGCATTTTTGACACATGATAAACAAAAACTGACGTGTTGAAATCATGTGTTTTCATGAGACATACGTCGAATTCTGTGGTGCTGCATTAATTTCGATGTGAGCAAAATTTAAATTTAATTGCTGAACCACGAATGTTGTAGCGAAAGAGTGCTGCTTACTTAGAGATTAATGATAAACCACATTTTTGCATGCAATTTTGAGATTAGGCGCACATTTTTGCACGCAAGAATGCTGGAGGAAAGTAAAAAAAAAAATAATAATAATAAATAAATTATTATTAATTTTATTTGTAATTGTAGAAAGCAGCGTAAAGGATAAAACCGAAAATTTCAAGCACGCAGAATGCAAAAATCAAAACAAAAAAAGAAAACAAAACAAAACGAATTGTAAGATGTGGTCGTATTTTGATTGTGTATTAAAAATAAATATAAAAATTTGAAATTAATTGGGGTGTTGTCTGTCTCTTATACACATCTAGATGTGTATAAATGTTTGCAATTATGTATGCATGCATGTGACAAGTGCTGGTAATTTGAAATTTTTAATTTATTTTTAGAGGAAATATGAATTATTACAAATATAAAATATCTGGCAGCAACAAAAAATACGCAAGAAGCAAATTAATTACAATCAATGCAACAGCAACTTACTTTTGCAAAGGCAAAACTCGTACATTTGCTGCTTGTGTTGATTCTAAAAATAAATTGAAAAAAAAAATTTTTTTTTTTTGAAAATAGTTATATAATAAAAAATAAATTATAGCAAATGCGTGTTGCGCACATGCGCACATATTAAGTATTTAATTAAAAAAATGTTTTCTTGGATGATGGAACTCGTCGTAATAATGAACAAAACTCTTAAATTATTTAAGAAATAAATAAAGCGCTGCTGCACTTTAGTCGTAAATTTAATTTATAAACTGCTTATAGGCGTAACAACACACACACACTTACTAACTGTTATTATATATACACAGAATATCACATGAGAATTGAACAATAGCGATTTTGTAACCAGTTGATTGAAATGGAAATTAWGGCGCTATAGGTTATTTATAAATTAAATGACACTGGCGGACCATTGAACACGCGCTAAGTATAATCGGCCGCTTCTTGTACCCTTCACAGTTGCCAATTTTAATGAGGCGAACTTGAGTTTGTTGCGCCACGCACTTGAAACTGACGACTTGGAGGCGTGTACTTAGTTATATTTCTACTGCATAATACATATTATTTATTTCTTCCTCAATCGCTTGGACAATTCATAATAAATTGCGCGACTTTGGTATGAATAAAAACATCTGCTAAACAGTACAACTCGAATTGGAAAATGAGAAACGTTTAAAATTTAATTTTCATTTTTATTTAAAACTATTTTTTACGAGCTAGAATGTTTGAACCCGAATTTGAAAGTGCGAAACGTTTTGAATTTAATTTTCAAATTTATTAAAAAATACTTTTTTGAGATTTAGAATGTTCGAGCKCGAATTGGAAAGTGCGAAACATTTAGAAATTAATTTTCATATTTATTTAAAACTATTTTTTGAGAGTTAGCAAGTTGAAAAATTATTTTTGCAGGCTGTAATGTTTAAAAATGGTTTAAACTTACATAATACCTTGCTTCYGAGCTCACCTTATTATGGGTTGTCCTGCGGTGTTTTTTCTTTAGTCTTAAGTATTCATTGTAAAAAATTTAGTTGTTTTCCCCACATTAAATAAAAACAATGCTTTCATTTTTTCAATAAATTATTAAATGAATTTTTATGTTTCTTAAATTTTTTTCCAAATTGACTTTACCTTCAAAAATATGAAATAAAATCGCTCAAACTTTTTGTATGCGCATTTTAATGGAAAAATTTAATATTTCAATGTGTTATGTGTTGAAAAGTTGTGCACAAATGCATCAAATAAATATATGGATTATGCTGTTAATTAAAAAATGACAAAAATGCAATAAAAATATATTTATAAAAAAAATATTTTTGAAAAAATAATAAGTGTTTGAAGAAAAAACAATGAGTTTTTGAAATAAAAATAAATTAAAAAAAGGTTTTGAAAAATATTATAAAAGAAAAGACATTATTTTTAATAATTAATTTAAAAAAAATTTGTGTAACTTCTCAAGAATATGAAACAAACTTACTATTTAAATAAGCTCCTAAACAACTATTATTCAAATAAAAAAATATACATATGAGAAATAAAGGAARACAACAGCAAACTTCTTAAAATACGAACAAAAATTGTAAACATATTTTTGAAAAATAATAATAAACTGCCCTTATATATGGTACATGCATATTTATTTCATTGCATTGCGTAATATAGTTGAAATTTGTAAAAGGTGTAAGAAAGAAAGTGTGGATGTTATGTGGAAAAAAATTAAAACATGTTCAAATAAATATGTAATTTCACAATTTTAGCACTAATTTAATGCGCTACTCAAATAATATTTATTTTCAATAATTAGCACATAATTTATATTGTGGCAAATTGGAATGTTTCAAAAATTGCAAAAGTTTTGCATATAGTTTCGTAGACCATTGAAAACTAACGGTTATGGATGTCTCAATAGGGATATTCAGATCAGCCTTGTTAGATCGCTAGTCGTTATTCGGTTGTCTTTTTTACATACATTTTGTTTTTGTAAAATTAACAGATTATCGTTCCACCGAGTAACGAACTATCAATGTGACAAGTTTGATAYATTTTTCGTTACTCGGTAATATCACATCAATTTCAATTATTCTCACCTCCACTTCCCAATACAAGGGCCTCCAAAAACTGAAATATTGTGTATCTGATTTTATAAAATAAGAAGCTGTTTTTGAAACATAACAGTTAAATGAATTCGTTGTGCGGAGTGTTTTTTTTTATCAGCTTATAATTAACATCTGCAAATACCTGAAAAGTATTCATTCCAAATTGTTTCGTAATTTCGTGTTGAAAGTAGACTAATATCCATGTATACCGTTAGAATACGCACCGGTTAGAATTGGCTTGCCACAAATTTTGTAAAACCTAGATTGCGTGCCATTTAGCCATGTCCGTCTGTATGCCTGAATTTACCTGAACTAATCCCTCAGTTTATGAGTCATCGGTATGAAATTTTGCACATACGCTTTTATGCCAAAGAAGTTGCTCATTCCTCGGAATCACCGATATCGGATCGTTATAGCATATAGCTATCATATAAACTGATCGTTCATAGTTCAGTTCTTGTATGGCTGCCGCACAAACTGACCGATCGAAATCAAACAAACATCTTTTTAATCCTTTTGATTGTTAGAAACACACCTGTGAAGGGTATCCAAGCAACCGATTTTAACGTTTTTTGTTTTTAAATATTTCTCAGCTTTTGTTTAATCTCATAAATTCACATAAAAAGTTCCTGCATTTCAAATCACCAACAGTCACGGTTTTTGTATAATTTTTTTCGTTAATTTATTTTGCAAATATACATATATACATGTACTTTTTGTGCTTACTGCATTAAATATAATCTTTGTTAATATATAAATTTTTGGGGGAAACCTTACAACTAGAAGTTTTGTATAAATTTTAATTTACCATTAGTAAAGCTAGCACATAAATTATTGTAAAGCGAAAAAATATAAGTATGTCTTATAAACATATGCAAATTATTAAAATATTCCTTATCTTTATACCTACAAGTAGTTTTTGAAAGCATAGCAAATTAGAATTTTATAAGGCAATTTTTAGCGGAAAACGTCTACAAATACAAAATCACGTCTATGAATTTAAATCTTTCCGTTTGCTGAGGCAATTGTATGGCTTTTCGATAAAGGCACTTCGCTGCTAAAAGCATAAATACGTAAGCTACATTATTTTCTGTTTTTAAAAGCACACATTTCGTTAGCTGTATTTATTGCTTATTGTTGCATATCATAATCCGTGATAATAACCAGAACAAGTGGCCGTTCGCTGTCGTTATCCATGGTGGCGTTGAAATCTTCTTGCATGTCTGCTGTCATTGTTTGTGTTGTTGCGCTCGCATCCAGTGCGAGTACGGCGGCATTGGTCGTTGTTTGTTGATTGTTGTTTGGTAGCTCAGCATCAGCACTAATACCACCAGTGGAGCACATCGAGTTAGTTGAATGCGTGGATGAGCAGTCACCGGTCAACGGTGGTGTCTCCATGAATAGTTCAATGGGCATGTGCTGTTCAATCACATTGATTATGCTGTTGTTGAGT